CACACCCACCCACTTCAACATATCAAATGGTTCTTATAGCATAATAGATTTAGCCTTCTGTAGCCCTAATCTCTTCAATATCATCGAATACACAACCTCTGACGAATTATACAACAGCGACCACTTCCCCATTTTTATGGAATTGAGAGAACCAAATTCAAACGACCCTATAACTCAACCTAGATGGAAATTTAAGAAAACCAATTGGTCGCTATACCGTTACAAAATAACCCAAAACGTCTCTTCATTACAAACCCCTAGCCTCTTAAATTGTAAGGAAATAAATCAAATACTGAAAGAATTCGAAGAGCTAATTATCCAGGCTGCAACAAAATCCATACCTAGAACATTAGGCAACTCATTGTCAGAGAAAAATAATCTTCCATGGTGGAATGACGAATGCCAAAACGCGATAAAGGAAAAGAAACACGCCTTTAATAGATATAAAAAACACAATACGGACACAAATCTAATGGAGTTTAAGCGGACAAGATCCAGAGCAAAGAAGGTTCTTAAACAAACCAAAAGGAACTCATGGATTAACTATGTCTCTTCATTAACAAAAAACACTTCATGTGATACAATGTGGAAAAAATTAAATAAAATAAACGGTCAAAAAGTGAACTCTCAAATTACTGCAATCAAAAGCCCTGACAACTCGCTTGTTACAGATTCTAAAGAAATAGCAAACCTATTAGCAAATAGCTATGCGGAAAATTCAAGTAACGAGAATTTCGACCCAAATTTCCTCAAAATTAAAGCGGCTGTTGAAACCTCAAGACACGAAGCTACCTTACTCCCAGAAAATACTCACCCTCTAAACACAAAAATTCTGACTACAGAACTGCTATCTGCATTAAAATCCATTAAGAACTCTAGCCCAGGACCTGATAACATTCCCAATATTTTCATCCAACAATTACCAAAAGAGGGACTAGATTACCTGTTGGAGATGTATAATTGCATTTGGCTGAACGGTGTCCTCCCCGTCAATTGGCAAGAAGCGATAGTAGTGCCCATACCAAAACCTGGAAAAGATAAGCTCCAGCCTGACAGCTACAGACCTATCGCCCTCACATGCTGTCTATGCAAACTGCTTGAAAAGATACTAAATAAAAGGCTGCGATGGTACCTAGAAAGTAATAATCTACTAGAGAAGAATCAAAATGGCTTTAGGCAACATCGATCTACAACAGACAGCCTTACTATACTAGATTCAAATATTTGTGAAGCCTTCCTAAACAAACAACACCTAATAACAATATGTTTAGATATTGAAAAGGCCTACGATATGCTTTGGAGACACCGAGTTATACAACAACTAAAACAATGGAACATAAACGGAAACATGCTCCAATTTATAATAAACTTTCTAAAAGACAGATCCATCTATGTCCGAGTTAATGGTAAGCTATCCAAGAAAACAAAAATTGCAAACGGGGTACCACAAGGGTCAGTTGTAAGTGTAACTCTATTTTTGGTGGCCATAAATGATATCACGGATGTGTTCCCTAAACCAGTAAAACACACCATATTCGCCGACAACTGTACACTTTTCATTACTGGAAAAAATTTAAATACCAGCCAACAAATTCTCCAAGATTGCTTAGACAAACTTCAAAATTTTGCTAAACAAACTGGTTTTAAATTCTCCAAGAACAAAACTATCGTTACCATTTTCTCGAAAGAAAGAACAAATCAAAACCACCAACTTCAGCTACACTTAGGCCAACACCAACTTACAATAACCAACACAACTAAAATCCTTGGTCTAATTTTTGACAGCAAACATACCTGGATCCCATTTCTTAAAAACCTCAAGACCGAATGTCTCAGAAGACTAAATATATTAAAAGTCATTGCATCTAAGAATTGGGGAGCTGAATTCCAAGTCCTAATTAAATCATATAAGGCCTTGGTCCTATCTAAGCTAGATTACGGATCAGCTCTATATAGTTCTGCCAAACCAAACACTTTAAAAATACTGTCACCCATACACAACGCCGGAGCTAGAATAGCAACTGGTGCGTACTGTACGAGCCCAATCACTGCAATTCTATGCGAAGCCAACATACCGCCACTAGACACCAGAAGAAAACAATTGAGCTTATCGTACGCAGCATCTAAATTATCAACACCACCAAATCCTGTTTACAAACTAATAACTACTGACAGCCTTTATACCGAATTCGCAAAGAAGCCTAATTCTCCGAAACCCTTAAACTTCCGGCTCAAACGATACCTACAGGACCTAAAAGTCGACACACCATCCGTTGCACCGAGAGGACAATACCAGCTTCCACCATGGACAATAGAAACCCCCCACATAATAGATACATTCCTAACAGTAGGAAAAAATATTACCCCAATATTGCCAAAATCTTATACACTGAATTATCTAGCAAATATCCAAACCATGGACAAATTTTTACCGACGCCTCAAAATCAAAACAAGGGACTGGATGTGCGGTATGCACCCCTGAAAGAGACTTGCAATTCAGACTTCCAGAAGCATTCACAGTTTTCAGCAGTGAAGCATTTGCGATTCTACATGCCTTAAAATATATCGAACAAAGGCGCATAATAAATTTATCATTTTTTCAGACTCCAAAAGTGTTGTGACAGCCTTACAAAATTTAGAAACCAGAAACACAATAATACGGAACATTATCGAATTAAATGCAATACTCAATTGCGGCGAAAAAGAAATTTTGTACTCCTGGATCCCCTCACATGCCAACATCGAAGGCAATGAAAAAGTCGACTCAGCAGCAAAGCTAGTTAGTACCAGTACGTCCGAATCAAACGATGTCCCTATATTATATCAAGACCTTCAAAATTACCTCACTAAAGCAACAATAGAATTATGGAATGAAGAGTGGAAAAATTCAAGACTGACTAAACTACACACAATCAGAAACAGTATAAACGATGCCAACCCGGCTTGGCTACTGAACAGGAAAGATCAAGTAAAGCTAACAAGAATAAAAATAGGTCACACAAACTGGTCACACTCCCACCTCATCACAAAAAAGGAACCAAACAACTGTGATATCTGCGGGATACAAAACTCCATCGATCACATCCTGATAACCTGCCCAAAGTACAATATGATAAGGATCCAACATAACTTGCCGAATTCACTGACCATGCTTCAAAAAGAAGATTCAAGTAAAAGAGCTATAAACTTTTTGAAAGATATTGGTTTATACCACCTACTATAGACTACACCACTGAATAAACTCACTGTGGTCACTAATAACCTCAGAAGGTGCATGTGACCTTAATCACCCAATAAAAAAAAAAAAAAAAAATCGAAATCGCGGATTACTTTATCTACGAACCGCTGACATGTTTGTGCAGCGTTCCGCAGACCGAATGGCATGAAAACAAATTCGAATAACCCAAAAGGGGTTGATATAGCAGTTTTCGCGCAATCGTCCGGCGCGACAGGTATCTGGTTAAACGCGCGGACTAAGTCGATTTTGCTAAAAAACAGCCATCACAGCTTGGACTCGTTCCTCATAAGCAAAGATGTCTGTTTCTATAGCCTGATACTTCTTGGTCGTTGCTTCTACTGCAGCCAGATCAAAACCAAAGTTATCCTGAGAGACTAGTCGTTGATTCTCAGACAACCATGTTTCTCTCATGCTTGTCTTTCTGTTAAAACTTGCTGCCAATTGTTCTAGCTTCTCGTGGCGGATCAATTAACTCTCTCAGAGCTAATTCCCGCTCGTGTTCCGCTTTCTTCAGCCTCTCCCAAGCCTTGTTGATATCAGAGATCACCTTACCTTCCTTAGGTGTGTACGGTTTTTGATTAGTAGCTCTCATCTTCGACTGTAACGTGAACAAAAGAACCTCCAAGTTGCCCTTTTCAACAAACTTGGGAGGTTTCTCTACTGTACGATAATTGGAGAACTGGGAGAGTTGCGATTGGACGCCAACCAGAGAATTGGCGAATCGACGATCACCCAGAGCCTCTATGGTGTCTTCTATCCAGCGCAATAAATCACTGGTCAGGCTCTCGTACTCGTATATCATATGGTCATTCTCAATGGCGATTCCTATCACTTTGCCTATCCTTTTACCTTGTACAGTCTCGCTTCATCTTAGAGAAATAATGATAATACGTGACTACATAGGTGATGATCAATTTCTCGTCAGGATGATTTACAAATATATCCTCAGCGTCTAATAGTTTAGTAGGACCAAGTGAATTTTCCGCTATGTTGAAAGCGTTGTTCAAGTTGTAAATGGCATTCGACTTGGACAGCCTCTCGAATGGGATCAAGTCTGGACGGTGTTTGTGAATGATAGCGTTGAATGCCAATCCACCACGCCAGGACGTGGTGAAATTTCTTACGTTCACATTATGATACCCGCTGTTTTCATCTGACACCAAAGAAGCAACGCGTCCTTCGCTGATTTCGTTTCTTGATGGTCAATCTCTTCAATGGTGATATCCTGGATCTGGAATCGGAGAATTGTGGTCCAGATGAGACCGAGACTCAAACGGGGATTTCCATCAACGATATCATGGGAGTCCATGTTCTCCAGGAGGACTCGTTCCTCACGTAAAAACTGCAACGCTTTGTCGAAGTTTTCCAAACAGTGGATTCGCATTTCTCCCTTCGTAGGTTGTGGCAAGCGTTCTCCAGAAAGGATCTCGAGAAGCTTGATGAGCATCTTTCCGTCCCGAAGGTTGACGTAAAGGTCGTCAATTCGGCAAGAACACCGAACCAAGTGGGAGTTGATCCATTTTTGGAAAATTTTCTTTTGTGCCAATTCGCGTTCACCTGGATTAAAAAAGGAAAAAGAGTTTAATTGAAGATTGTGAAGAAGGAAGCACTGGTAGTTTTTACCAATTTATTGGTAAATATTTTATGTGCATAGGAATATTGAATTTATTGCTAAATTGCAAAGAATCACTGTCGGTACTCTATTTTTACCTCTTAAATTAGATATGATTATATCGTAGTCCATTTTCTGCGAAGACCATAGACTTTAAAGTGTACACTTATCAAACTCATATCTGTGGAATTGGTTTTACGAATGTGTTGCGAATGATGGTGTGAATGTCGTCGGTTTTGTTTCGAATATATGTATGTGGACATTCTGGGAGCCGGTATAATCTATGGTTAATGCTCGAAACTGTTTGAGATTGGTGGAGCGAGTAGTTGATTAGCAGAAATCGGAGAGTAAACAGTAGAGCAGCGTGGTCGATGAGAACAATAAGTGAGAGAGCAATAATAAAAGAGAGTATTATTCTGCTGATCGATATTCTATTTAATGTATCGTTAACTACGTTGTGCAATTGTCCTTATTAAATACATATATATATGTTAAAAAACTCCGACTACGTGTTATTTACCCACAATATCTACATATATCAAAGGATGTGACAATATGTATATCTTAAAATGAATTTTATAACGACACTTAAAAAGTATTGTTAGAAGCTGTATTTTTAAATTCACCGTGTATAGCATCTTCATTTTTTAGTTACATTTTAATCTTTTCCTTTCCTTTTTTTCCTACACGTCCAGAAGCCTCTATTTTGTAAGCGGTGTGTGGCTGTTTTAAAGTGTACGAGAAAAAGAATTATAAGTGTATCATACAAGCTGTATAAGAATAAAGTTGTGTTTTAATAAACTAAATATTTTCTGAAATATAAAATCCAAGTCTAATAACTATCCCCCCCAAGTGCTAACCCCAGCATCTTTAAACGAATTCGACAATATACAGGGTGTCCCGTAACTCCTCGAACACCCGGAAATGGGGGGTTGCTGTCTGAACAACTTTTTCCTTTACCAAAATGTTGTTTGAAGTTTCATTTTTGAATTATTAACGAAAAACACTGGCCAATCAGAGCGCGCGTAGAGCCCGCGCTCAGGGACGGAGAACAGAGGCACATCCGCGCGCGATTTAACAAATGCGTACGCGTGACTTTTCGGTTCTTGATAGCTGTCAAAAAAATTTGACTTTGCACTGCTGTTTTTATAAGGCTTAGAAAAATGGTTTTTGGCCGTCATTCCGACGTTTGTATAAATTTTTGAAAAAACTGCAATTAGTCTGAATCACGAAGAAAATAGCGAAGGTCGTTTTTACAACTTTTTTATCTGAGCTCGAAATGAAAATCTAAAAAATGCGTTTTGTAGATCTACGTCAATTATACACACGGTGAAAATTTCATCTGTAAATTGCATCATGTAGATGCTATAATCCTTTTATAAGACTTTAAATTTTTTAAAGATAAAGAAATAAAAAAACTACTTTGAACAATAAAATAGATAAAATATCAATTTAATTCAATAACTATTAATATCAAATAAATAACCCTAAACTTACATAAAGTAGATATTAAACAAATTTCAAATCAAGTTATACCTCGACATAGAAAAACAATCCAATAATTAAAAGGAAAAACACCTAATTTAAATATTAAAACTAAAAAAATTAATAAATCACTTAAATTT